CTCAACTACATGAATATTAAACAAAAATAAGTAGCGTTAAAAAGAATTATTTTATTTTTATTATTGATAAAAATGATGTAAATATCTGTAAATACAATAGAAAAAAAAGAATTAATATTTAATTAACTTTTCTCTCTCTCTCTATCTCACTGGTCACCACCACCACCACCAACCAGCGACACGAGAAACAGAAATCAGTTAAGCAGGGCTTTCAGACCTTTTAAAATTGTCCAAAGGCCAAATCTCACTGAATAAAGAGGTCCGACACCTTTTGTTCGTTTTCCCAATTCATACCTAACTCACATTCTTCCCACTTACCACCAAAGTCCCTGAGGGATGATATTTAATTACATGAAAGGGAAGCAGGTCATACTCATCCTCCAAGTAAGAGATCCATACATATTATCATCATGTAATTGCGATGCCTAATCCAGGTAGGAGGATTTAAAAATATACTATTCACCCATTAGGAACAACACCTAGCACTTGCTAATAAATCTGCATATTGGTTTCTCAATAAGCCCTTCTATTACATATTATACATTACAGGAGATTAAGGGAATATGGATTCAGTCTTCACAAAACCGTGTATTTACAGCTTTTTGCAGCCATACATATGGAATATTTTTACATTTGTATGTCTTCATTCATAAAGAGGTATTTCCAATGAACAGTTATTAGTGACTACGAACTTAGTTCTGCGAAGACTGAATCCAAATTCAGATTAGGGGGTGGGGAGGGCAGAGTGCACAAAGACATCCACTTAACCTATCACCTAGAGAGCATTCTTTTTTTTGTATTTTGAGAGGGGGGAAAGTTGGTCAATGAGATTTTGGTTCTCATTGACCAAGAATTCCATGTTCATTTTTCAGATTAATGTGGGGACCAGGGAAAGTTTATTTTCCTGGTACCCATCTCCTAGGTGAGTAAATAATTTTTCCATTTAGGAGGAAGGTTACTACCACTTGAATGGGACAAAAATGCCCCTTTTAATAATGGGTTTTTATGACTAAAATGGTCATTATCCTATTTACCTAAGAAATAAAAGAACATGGGTAAATGCACTTATTTGGATAAGTGCTTCCCATGAAAAACTTACCCAAGTAATTGCATTTACCCGGGTAAATAACTTACCGAAAAGGCGAAAAGCGAACGGGGCCCTAGAGCTTACACTTAGGTGGGCTTGATCCCACACCTCTATATTAAGAGAGCGATGTTGAATGGCCATCTAAGTTATAAGGCTATTGGCCTATAGAAGCCCGGCCAACTAATAAAAAAAGTAGGAAAGTTTAGAATTCGAGGTGGACTTTTTAACTAAGGAGAATGATGGTTCAGCCTAGGGTCAGAATTTTTAGGCCTAAAGTACAGTTGGGGTGGGTGCCAACTTGAAATTGATGCCAATTCACGAGCGGGCATTAGTGTATAAAATGGGGTTTTTTACCTTTTAAATGTTTATAACTTTGCAATGGAAATCAAAAATCTGCATTGAACCTGACCATATAAGACCCACCTCAGAAAGCCAGAAGTTGCTGCTCCTCCCAAATGGGCACAAAATGCCCCTAGGTTGCCATTTGTCCAAGTTAGGAAAATTGGGACTCACCTTGGTCTCACTTAAATAATGGTTAGACCAAATCAAATGATTCCAATTGGATATATTTAATTTGTCTAAAAAGTAACCATACTTTAATGGTGACTAAATTACTACTCAAATTTAAGGCAAGAAGTACGAAAATTAGATGGGATACAATATAGTGACTGTTTGGGAGGGTTTTCTGGGGCAGAAAGTTTCTGAAAAACCAACCTAAGCTTTTCAAATGTTTAAAGCATTGCTCAAATATAAAGCTATTTTTAAAAGGGTGTTCTACTAGATGAATTGTTCTTCTTATTGCCGGTTCTATAAACAAATCAAAACCATCTGATTTAAAATTAGATTGATTCTTAAAAAATATGTTTTTAATTGTGTATAACATTTTTTTTGGTAAGGTTCAATTTGAAAATAATACAAATGCAAATATGTATGGTACAAATGCATACAAAATATAAGATTTTATGCTCTATGTATTTGCATTTATACTCCTTCCAAACTGAGCCTAACGTAACAATTTGAAAAACTAATGAAAACAAAAACATCTACAATGCACCCAGACGAAGAAATCCCTCCCAAACGGACTCATAATGTTAATACTTGCCTTGTCTTCATATTTTTAAATAGAAAATAAAATAATTGCTATTAGTCCTGTGACTGAAAATCTCACCACGGGTCAACAGTCAAAATTTTCACTTGCAATTCAGACAACACCAACCGAGACATGAAAAATCAATCCATTTAACCGGTTAACCGAGGTAATTTGTCTGTTTTTTTTCTTTTTTTTTTTTTTGCTAAAGGTTTAACCCATAAAAATTCGTAAAAGCCAACTTTTAATTGAAACTGGGAAAGACCATCGGTTCCTATGGTTCAACCATCCGGTTTAATCTGAATCTTCAATCAATATGAAATAAATGAGCATTAACCCCATTTCATCTGTAGTCATTGTAGGAATGGATACAAGGTTTTTAAAACTGGACCAGACAGAGAACCATTCTGAGGACCAGTTCCCAGGTCAAATAGTCCTATCATCTGGTCCGAACGAATGGCTTATTCTTACAAAAAAAAAATAGTAAAAAACACAAAAAATGGTAAAAAACTATTGTTCAAATCAATGGTTTGATCACATGGATCGGCAGTTCACTGCTCAAATCAACAATTTTTAGCCAAAAACCAATTTTAGGTGAAATAGAACGAATCAAGTGATTAATTCCCAGCTTTTCCAGTCCAACCATCGGATTCGATTTAGTTTTGAAAACATTAAATGGATATACTACGGCTGTATTAAGTGTGTGTGATGTTAATACTTTAAACCTTGCCTTTAATGCATTCAAGAAGAGGACCTATGACATAAAGAGTTGAATCAACTTGTTTTTGGTCCATCCAGTGTTTCTAATTAAATGTACGTCTATATTTCTATGTTCACACTTCACATGAACAATTAAAATATATTTCTTATTTGTTTATATTTCACTTTTGAGCCTAAAATAATCCTATAAAAAAAGATTTGTACTTCCTTATTTCCAGTCAAATCTGATAAAGGTTTTTGAAAGTGAAGTACTAAATTGAGTCTCCTATCCACTGCTTGTGGGGTTTCCTTCTTTATAATTATAAAACAGTTTTAATGTTAATCGATGTACCTTTCTAGGATTTATCTCATAATCTGAGCTTTTGCATATTGATAGTTGTTTTTTTTTTCATAATCTAAGCTTTTGCATATTGATAGTTCTTTTTTTTTTCATGGAGGCACATAATGGGAATTTGGATTTCCTGTACCCTTCTCACAGTCCTTGTAGCTGTGGATTGGAAACATCTTCCCATGAATATAAACATATATACAAGTAGGGAGGTATTTCTGATGTGCAGCTGAAAGGGCTGTAAAAACTAATTTTGTGAAGAGGAAAATCTAAACTCACAATAGAGGATAGCTTGTCCTCTAAACTAAGGTTTTTAAAATCGAATTGGATAGGGAACTGTTATGGGGTTTGGTTTTCGGGTCAAACGGTCTGACCGTTTAAACTGAACAGATGATGCATTTTAACAAAAAGAATAAAAAAATAATAATAATAAAGTAAAAAATGGCCAAAAACTGTTGTCCGGGTCGACGGATCGACGGTTCAACTGCCCAAGTCAATGGTTCGTTAACTAAATCAATGATTTTTGGCCAAAAAGAGGTTCTGAGCTAAAACAGACCGGTCATGTGACTGGTTCCCAATTTTTCCAATCCAACCATCCAGTCTGGTTTGATTTTGAAAACATTGCTCTAAATCCATAACCCCCAATCCTGGTGGCAACCGGATTTGCTCCCAAGTCTGCCACAAATAGCCTAAGAACCTACCAATTAAGCCGCCATCAATAGATTTATTGATAGTTATCTTAAAATTAATGACCTTTTTGATAATCCTTTTCCTCCAACCAGCATTTGCTCATATGCCATAGAAGGTTTCTTAGGCTTGGGAAGAGAGCAAATGCTGGTTAGATGCATATATGCACTTTGGTTTAATTTTGTAGGTATTTGCTAAAAACGTATTTTTATATTGAAAATAACAACAACAATGCATTCAAAGACATGTTTGCATTCAAAATAAGATCAAAGTTTGCATTCAAAAAATAGATGCAAATTTTTTCACTCAAAATTAATCAATGTAAAAAAGTTGGATTTCAGTATGGAAATTCATGTTTTTATCCATTACAACTAAACAGATGTTTGACAAGAGTAAGGATTTATCAATTTAACAAACTTTGTATTTTTATGAACTAAACATGTTTGTATTTACACTTTTTCCAAATAGAGCCCCTATTTTATATCATTCTGTCTTTTAATGTTTTAAATCTCTTTTTACACCAGCAAATCCGAGATGAGCTTCGACTTTTGTTGCCTTTTCTGGCAGAGCCCTTTTTTCATACATTCAAGATAAGTTACCTTCTCTTATACATTTAATGTCAATAGGAACATTATAAAGGAACCGAACACCTCCAGATTGAGACAAGTGTCTCACTGATCAAGGATTTTATCACTTGATCATCCAGTCTACACTCAGGCCAAATAGTCTCTACCATTGTCCTAGTAAGAGCTGGAGTGGATCTGGTCAGTATTTCAACAATAAGGCTCCGTTTTGTTTGTGGGAAGATTTATGTGGGATGGGAAAAGATGGGATAGGAAAGTGTAAAAATTTAACTTTCTATTGTTTGGTTTTATTCGGATGGGATTGGAAAGTGTAAAAGGGTACCGAAATGGCATTGTCCACCTTCCTCCTTCGCTTGAGACGAACAGAGGCGACGACTACCCCCTTCATCTCCTACCTCTCCCACTCTCTTTCTCCTCCTCCTCCTCCTCCTCCTCCTCCTCCTCTTCTTCTTCTTCTTCTTCTTCTTCTTCTTCTTCTTCTTATTCTTCTTGTTTCAACCTCTCTGTTTATTCTTGATTGCCATTGTAACTTATATGGCCTCGAGGCGACGTTGACGTCGACGTCAAGTGGTCACGATCAACAATGTTATTACCTGAACTTTCGATGTGCACTGCCCCAGCACTCGAAGCCCAGTTGGCAGCCCTGTTCACACTTATAAACAAGGCTCCCATGTCTACTGCTTTGATAACAGAATTGACTCTCTTCATTGGAAACATGATATAGACGTTACCCATTTCTAAATCTTCATTGACACTAAGCGTAGAGAACCTCCGTCCTATTTGCAGTGATCGGGAATTCACCAAGAAGTAATTGGGTATCTCGAAACATGAGTTCCGCCGCCTTGACATGGCTGTCAAGTTGCCGGATTTCGCACTTGGTAGGATCACCTTTGCACATCTTGACTGTCTTCCTGGTGGGTTGGCAAGCGTGGAGGAGATGTAGTTTCCCATGGCACAGAGAAACAAATAGAGGAAGAAGAGGTAGTGAGTGGAATTGTCCGACTGAAATGGAAGAAGACGAGATCAGTGTTGAAGAGGAGGTGAAGGTAGTAGAAACTTTGATGTTAATGCGCGTGGGACCTTTGGCATGGTCTACGATTTTGGGATTTCACATCCCACCTTTTTCTCATCCCATCCCCCTCTTTCCTTCAAAACAAATATGAGAAAAGGGAATATTTTTGGAATATTCCCTTTTTCTCATCCCCATCCCACAAAACAAACAAAGCCTAATATTTTTATGCAAAAATATTTCAATAAAAAACCAAATAAATAAATAAATTTTATTTTTATAGGAAAATAGATAAATAATAATACAAGAAAAATTAATTGTGTGTGAGAGTGTAGCATAGAGATGATTTGTTCTTCATCCACATGTGGCTTATCACATGGCCATTAAGTTTTCCAACATGTTGAGGATTAGCAAATGAGGGCGTATGGCCACTCTTCCAACAAAAATATAATCCTTGTTACCTTAATAGAAATTATTTTTCTAAACCAAAATGATACACGTTGACAATTGGCAAATAGTGCCTTCCTATTTAAAATTCCAATCGCTACAAGTATAAAAAAAGATGCTCGACATGGGCAAAATGCTTTAGGTTATGTTTGATAAGCTTTTTGAAAGTACTTTCGTGCTTCAAAATAATTTAGCACTTGGTAATATGTATTTTCTAGAGAAAAAAACACCCAAAGCAGAAACAATTGTGCAACAAAAAACACAGTCATTTCTTCACTTCTTGCTTTTAATACTTTTTGGAAAACATATAACATGCAAATGTATAAATGTCATATGACAAAATTTGTGATACATGACACAACTATGGATCATGATTCCAAATGACACACGTAGTATATATATTACCTGACATGGAAAATTTGTAAATATGGCAAAATATATACCATGTGACAAATTTTGTAACATAATGGCCAGATATATGCCATAATGCATATAAATATATGACACATAGTATTTCAAATTTGTAAATATAGCAAAAGATATGCCATTTTCCAAATTGGTGACACATGGCAAAATATATTCTAAACCCTAAGAATACATGTTAGAAACATGCTTCATGTTTTTTTTTTCTCAAAAAAACACATCAGCGTAATTTTATCCAAACATTACCTTAATCTCTACCCTGAGTAACTTAACACTTGTGATATGCAAGATCTAGACTATAACAAAAGATTTAGATCCCATTTGGGAGGGTTTTTAGCCTTTTACTCAAGATAACATCACTCGAAAGTCAATTTTGTGATTCATATATATATATATATATATTGGGATCTCCTGCCAATAAATAATTCTATCCTACCAACATGATATGATACCTTTCATCTCACCATGAGACTAAGACCCACCATCCATGAGATCGTTAATGTGAGATCATGTTAGTGGAGTGTTGGAACGTATTTTATTGGTAGGAGGATCAGATAGAGCCAATTTTTTATTTTTTGAATTTTTACTAGGAGCGCAACTTGGGCGGGTCCAACATGAGCTCAACTTGACCCAACTTAAGTTTTTGCATAGGTTGGGCCTATGTTTTCAGGATACAGACTAGGCTTGGGGCAAAAAAGCTCGAGTTAACCTAAACTTAGGTTGGTTTTGGGATGAGGCCTCAAGTAGCCTGAGCTCGATCAAACCTAACCCAAACTCACTTGAAAAAAAATATATATACATATATACAATGTTTTTAACTGACCATTAACCCAGTCAATCGAATTGGTGACCCATGACCCCAAGACAAAAATGGTCCAACCTTTAGATTGGTTTTTAAAAAACTTCATAATTGTTATAGTATGCACATTTGCGTTTGTAAATGAACACTTAAGGTGGCATTCGGTAATGTGTTCATCTTGTGGATGGACCATTTTAGTCCACGCCACAAGATGAACTCCCTGTTCGATTGGTTATGGATGGGACCAGTCCACACTATATCATGGACCATCATCGTCCAAAACCTAAAATCTTAGCCACACATATATCTCATGGATGTGGCCAGTCCAAAGCATGTTCATACTCTATTTTGATACAATACATATCTTTTACATACTTTTCTTTCTTTTTAATTTTTGTATTTTAAAACAATAATTTTTAATTTTATTTTTTTAATACTTTATGAATAAAATAACATTTTTAATTTTAATTCTAGCACGAGCCCGACGGTGTTCCTTCTCCACTCTTTTTTTATTTATTTAAATATTAATTTTTTAATGTTTTTATCAATAAAATAATATTTAAAATATTTAAAATATTTTTAATTTTACTATCATTTTTATTAAAATTAATATTAATTTATCAATACATTTATTATATAAAATGCAAAATTAGACATTTATGATCAACTATATAAATCATTCATAAAATATATATGAGATATATTGAATTAAAAAATATGGTACGAACTGATCTACACCATGCCTATAAAATAACACTATAGGTTTAGACTGATCTAATCCATATAATCTGTTTATAATTCATAACAGCTATAGATTATAGTATAGTATAAATTTATCCCTACCACACAGGATATGATATTAACCCAACAATTTTTCATCCACACATAGAACACCCCTTAAATTTAAGCCATAAACCTTGTTAAAAATGAATAAACTCCACAGTCATCTGTTGCGCACGTTACTTTACCCGGCAGCGCGAGGAAAAATGGTATTCCGTGTGCTGCATGTCTGGGTGGTGCTGGCCCACGATCCATCATGTCTTGTTACATCAATCAAGGGCTGTTTTTTTTTTTCTAGCGTTGACGCGGAATCGAACCCGCAACCAGCAATTTGGGGAAAAGGGGTTAAGAGAGAAGTTATTACCAAAAAAACGTCCCTTTTGTCAATTCAAATCCTCTTCTGGGTCTCTTCGTTCATTTCCTGGTTTCCCACGTAATGTCTCCGGCACGTGCACCCACCCTCGACCAACATTTTCTGTCAACACCGTATACACGTCCGTCCCTCCATCAATTCCGTATCTTTGAGTTGTATCCCTGCACCGCGTGGTCCCACAATTAAATTTGATTTCGTTCATCTGCCGACCATCGCGCAGGATCCGTGAACCATTAATGCCACGTGTACGGTCAATGTTTGTATAATAAAATATTAAAACAGTAGCCAGTACTGGTCAAGGGATATCAAATTATGGTGGGGGATGCCGTATGGAGTCAAAATGTCACGGTAAAATAAAATATAGTGAGAGATAAATGGGATGTCAGGGAATCTTACAAGCCGCTTCCCGAGATTTCTTTTTTCTTTTATGGAGATCGAGATAGAAAAGAGGGTCCCCCTGCCGAACTCCCCACCTCCAACTCTCATCGAATCATTCGCTTAAATTCACCTTCTGAGGATCGCCCACAATGCAAAAACTCTGCAGGCGGCTTTCCATGGTGGGTTGTAGGGTTTCTTTGTATTGGAGGTTTTGTGAGTATGGGAAGACTTGGGTCTCAGGCTTTGTATGGAGGTTTTAAAGGATTTATGGGATATCGTTGTTTTTTTTTTTTTCAGTCTTTTGTCTGGGTGATTGATTTGTTGTTGTGGGTTAGACTGGTTAGGGGATTGTTTGTGAGAGTTGATTGGGTTTTGAGGGGATTTGAAGGAGGTAGGTTAGAGAGCACTGGGGTTGAGCTTCCTTGAAGTCCAATGGTGGTTCTTGCCGGTTAGATAGAGCTGCTGAATTATGGATTCCACAGCCCTGTTTCATGCTTGGAAGGATTTGGATAGGTTTGTGGTTTGCATATTTCAGGAGCTGCATTAACTGGGGAGGAATCTCGTTTGGATTGAAGGGAGCTCTGCACCATCCCTTCTGCCTTATCACGTTTTTGTGTTTATCTGTTGCTTCGTTTGTCCCTTTTTTTTTTCTTTGCTGGTTTGGTGCAAAATTTCTTTCACCAAAGTGGAGAAGTTTCTAATGGTTCTGATGATCTTTTAGAGTTGTTTGACTTGTGTGTTTTTCTATTTCTTATGTTGTTTTGTCTGTTTTTATTTTCTTCCTTGTTGGCTTGGAAATAAAGCTATATTTTTATGTAATTTATCTCTCCTTTATACCGAACTATACCATGCATCAAGGAGCTTGCAGGATCATGGAAGAGATCGAGTATGAGATTTGATGAAAAATCTTGTTTTCAATATGGGTAATAGGAAACTCTTTAGTTTGGCTTTGTTCTTTATTTTTCCAAGTTCTGAAAGAAGATTGAATGCAGATTTGACGACGTTTCTCTGAGAAGATCTGGGTTGCTTTTGATGTGATGTTTCTATTTGGTATGTGCTCTCTTCATGTTGGATCGAAGGGAATTGAAAGCAGTTCGATTTCTATCTCTGAGAAGATATCTATGCAACTTTTCTCTTGTTGGTTATATTAATAATATGTTCGATTTCTATCTCCTGATTCTATTTACTTCATATTTTCCTTAACGAGCTAGGTTAAATGCTTGCAAACTCGACCCAACAACTTTGGCTATTTGTGTAGAATATCTTTCTCAGACTGATTAACAGTCAATATCCTGAATTGGGTCTGTCAGAGGCAATGAACCTGGAGCCTTCCTGTATCCCCATCGCAGGTCAGAACTCAGAACCGAACAAGATCAGGCGTCTTTGGCCGGAATATCTATTCAACCGGGTACTGGTTGCACCGGTCCTTTGTAATTGTATTTGTATACCTGGAGACCGGAGTCCTGAACTACTATTGAGTTTTCCCTTTCTTTCCCTACGTTTTCTTTCAAACCAAACACAGCTTAAAGGTTTGTAAGAAAAATTAAAAATTTATTAAGGCCCTTGTTTCTGTTCCTTTTCGTATTCTATGTTAAGTGTTGAATTTTTTGGTTAGTTGTTATCTTAAATGAATAAATTCTTAATTATTTCAGGTGGGGTGTATTAACTATTAAGAAAGCCTTTTGTTTCGATATTTGAGTCAATGACCGGTGTAAGACTCTTTAATAATACAAAATAGTATAATATAAGCCTACAAGGTTTTAGGATTTTTTTGGGTGTTGATAACGCACCGACTTATTAGAGGTTCCGTTTCCATGCATTATGACAGACTGAATTCTGATGAATCCGATCCGCTTTTGCGTTAGAATTTTTACTTCGTTTTATCTCCTATTTTACAAATATTCTTACCTTTATCTGCACTGTAAACCAACAAAAGGAGGTAAAATGTCAAATAAAATAAAATGACGAAGCAAAATTTACTCTCATTGATTTGTCTTTCCATTTGCTTATGAAATTGCATTGAAGCCAAACAATCACTTGGCCATTATTTATGTAAAAATGCTCGACTCTTAATCAACCATTATTTATATAAGTCACGGCATTTCATCGAAATCTTAAAAATAATGGTTCACTTTTTTATGGGAAAATTTTGAAAACATTTTTCATTGAAATTATAAAATTTATTTATTTGAAGTATTTATACAATCGTTTAGGTGCAGTTTGGCAAGTTTTTTTTGGAGGATCTTTCGACAGCAGCCCAATTGAGATGGCATTTTGAGACGTTCCCATCGGGGGTTCAACCCGGCAGTATTTTTTTTACCAGGACGGGGTGGGGTAAATTTTCCATGGGGTGGAGATGGGTTCAGGATTTCTAGCCCTATTGGGAACAGGGCTTCTAAAACCTGGCCCCACCCTACCCATTGTCATTCCTACATTTCATCTTTTAGTGTTAAATACAGAAAAGGCCAAAATTTGATCTTTTGAGCTTTGAAAAGCCCAAAAGAGGTGTTCGTCATATGGTCTAGACCGCCAAATCGCATTGAATTAAACCGAAATTGGTGGCTTGGTTTGGTTTGCCCTTACAAACGGTTAGGTTTGGCCTGAGAATTGCTCAAACCGTAACTTTCTGGTTTGGTCTGGTTTTTTAATTTTTAGAAACCAGACCAAATCATAAACTGTATTAAAACATAAATATTAATAACATATTTATTAATATATATATAATATATAATACATATATTTAAATATATGTATGTCTATATGTATATATTTATTCAACATTTCACACATATTGATGCTTGTTTCAATTTTCAACTTATAATTTGATACTCAAGGAGCTGTTTGTGTTTGAGAAAGTATAAAATGTAATTTATATAATAGTAATAGGTGGCATTTGTTAACATTTTAATTTGATAATTAAATTATATTTCTTATTTATGCAGGTATACATGTTATTTTGGCTTTTTAATTAGATAAAGCCCAATTAAATGACCCAAACCGTATTAAAAACTGAATTAAATCGCAATAGAATAATTTGGTCTGAAATGATTTCTATACTAAAATGGTATGATTTGGTTTAAGAGTTTCTCAAATTATAATATATTATTTTGATTTCAGATATTCTCCAAACCAAACCGAAGCATAAACATCCCTACAAAAGATTGTGCGGAAATACTTGCCAACAGCTTCCTAAATTATTGAAAGCTTGCTTCGGAGGAATGATGGATGGGACCATGGGAATACTGAGCTCCCATAAGGAGGTTGCAAACATGCCATATTGAAATAGTTAATTTCTTACTTCAAAAAGAAAAAAAAAAAAAGAAATAGTTAATTTAAATATAAAAAAATTGTAAATCTGATTATGTGGGCCCTATGTTTTAATTTCTCAAAAACAAGAGGACACCCTGGTGGGCCCCGTCACTCGTACCGTCGTACGCATATGTAATTGAATCCAGTTCTTTCTCGATTTATTAACTTCCCAATGATTAAATCAAACCATGAAAACCATATATATTCAGCGAAAATTATAGTAGTTAAGCACTTAAATAAGTAAATTTTGTAATTTCAATGAAACATATTTTTAAAATTTCCCAATTCCGATGGGAAAGGATTACAAGATCTTAACTACTTACACAGCTAAATCACATATTAATTCTGATTTAAAATGTATAGAGTTAACCACTAATTAATACTGGCACTTATTTGAAATCATTTTATCAAGGGAAAATTAAATCTTCCCCTTTCTTTGATCTATGCGAAAACCTCAGAAGAGATGTAATGTGGGCGAGTCCAATCCAATCATGACCCGAATTATGCATGGTTTGGGCTTGAGTTTTTGGGCTGTGGATTGGATTTGGGCCGGGTAAGCCTAAATTTGCATTAGGCTTGAGTTGAGGTCTTTAGCCCTAGTAAATACATGCATATACATAAATCGAAAAATCTCTCACTCCCCTGAGGTTTCTGACAATCATAAAAATATTTCTTTAAGTTTTATTTTAACAAAAACTTTCTCTCTGGTTTTGAAAAATATCTGCACTTACCTCCTTTCTGTCATTGTCCCAGAAACAGACTTGGGATTTACTAAATTACCCCTATTACTCGTTAGGGCATCTTTTAACATAATTAGAAAGATCAGAATATCAAATTTTCCCCTGTCGACTTCATTCAAATTGACGAATTTATGTAGTAAATTAACTAAATTCCCCGTTTGCTTTTCGGTAAGTTACTTACTTAGATAAATGCACCTATTCGGATAAATGTTTCCTATGAAAGACTTATATAGGTAAGTGCATTTACCCATATTCTTTTATTTCCTAGGTATACAAGGCAATGATCATTTTAGCCATAAAAATTCATTATTATAAGGGGCATTTTTGTCCCATTCAAGTGTTAGTAACTTTCCCCTTGGTGGGAAAGTTATTTACCCACCTAGGAAATAGGTATCACTTACCTAGGAAAATAAACTTACCTTGGTCCCCACATAAATATGTAAAAACAACATGGGTTTCTTGGTCAATGGGAATCAAAATCTCATTGACCAACTTCCGCCCACTCAAAATCCAAAAAAAAAAGAACATCCCTAGAGAATGATGGAAGGGAGGTTTTTTGTGATTGTCGAAACTAGAGAAGAGGTTTTTGTTAAAACAAAATTTGAGGGGAGGTTTTTGTGATTGTCAAAAACCTCAGGAGAAGTTTTATTTTTTACCCTTACCCTTATATTTATACAAAAATGTTTTTCTTTTCTAATTATATGCACATTATATCTATAGAATGTATACATGTACACTTGTATAAAATATGTGCATGTACACTTGTAAATGAATATTGTACATATTTTCAATCAATTTTACTCTTAATTTGGGTAATAAAACCCAATAGAAAATGGCTATACAAACTTTATCAATCCACCCAAGCCTAGCTAATTTGGCCTAATCCTTGTGTTAGGTTAAGATCGGATTGGTTAAAGTTGGAACCAAGGTTTGAACCTTTAGGGTGGCCTAGATTGACCTTCAACCTGACTGAAGTGCACCTCTAGTTTTAAACAAATGTGCTAACACATCCCTTTCGTTAGTTATCATGCAATGGATGTAATGCTAACAATTGATGAAGGATAATTTGGCCCGTCAAATGATGTGACGACACGTGGAGTGACAGAACGATGTGGTAACACTTCAATGACCTCGGTGACCTTAGCAATTCTAGTCACCTCGCACACCTCGGGTCACCCAGCTAAGTTGAGGCTCAAGTAGCTCAACTATATACACCGATCTGTCGAGTTGCCACATAACGTCAATCTAGAAGCAAGTCAGTTGTCTCTGATCTCCTCAGGATCACGACACTGCATCAATGGAGTTCATCTTCTCCCCACCTGATTCGGACGGACCTGTATAAACCTTATTAGCTTACACGGAGTCCATTTTCGGGTGCGAAACCAACTCTGGACCAGAATGGCCGAGGAACTTGGACGCGCATCATGAGGCCCACGGTAGCTTGCCTATATAAAGTCCTTGCCTCCAGTCTTTATAAGGTACGCACGATTCAGTTCTCTCAATACTCTTGTATATTGCTTTCAACTCTCTCAAAAACCTCCAAATCGCTAACTTAAGCATCGGAGTGCCCACACCGGGTAAAGCACCCCGGACAATCTAACATCCTTTTCTTGTAGCTCGACTAGGCGACCATGCTAGCTTGACATCCAAGCTAGCCTCGAGCAAGGAGCACCAGATCGTGCTCCATCAACAATGATTTTAAATTACAAAGACCCCCTTGTACTATGGGGTCAGTGACAAAGTCCCCCTTGTACTTTTTTTTTTGCGACAAAGACCCCCTGAACTTTAGACATTAGACAAAGACCCCCCTTGTTCGCTAAGTCAGATGATGAAAAGTGTTAAATTACCAAAATACCCCACTAAACTTTTTCTATTTTCTTTTTCTTGCCCTTTTTTCTCTTAAAACCTATTTAACCTATCGTTTTCCTCCTGTTTGAGTTTCACTTCACATACCATGATTATGGCCTTGATGTTTTCCTCATGACTGAAGCTGATTCCTCTCTCCTCCTCTGCTTTTGTCGAGATCTCTTAACAAATAATTTTTGAGAATGAGAAAATGACCACGATCGCTACGAAACAACAACATTGTCCTAACCTCCCTCCTTCAAGAAACAACAGTGAGAAGCTCTGAAAGTGGAAAAGCACAGGAACCCATCAAGGCTCTCTCTCCTTACCTCAGAAGTGTGGCATCTTTCGAGTGTAGAAACTGAACCTCCGATTGACACAAAGCTGACAACCCATAGTGGTAGAGAATCTTCTTGGATCTATGAGAAAGAAGAAAGAAACAAAGGTTCGACAACTTTTTCTTTTCCTTGTTCAAAGCTAAATTGAGGAACTAAGATAGATTCCAACTTTCAAAGCTTCAAGAGGCTGGTTTGAGAGGGGAGAAGAGAGAGAGAGAGAGAGAGAGAGAGAGAGAGAGGGAAGGAGGGGAGAATCCAAGCCAAGCTAGAGCTCTCAAGTCTTCAACCAGAAGAGGCACCAGTTCAAGGTCACTATTGCCAGCTAGATGTGCATTGCCAGAGAAGGAAGAGAGAA